ATGTGAATTACATCATTTGTATGAATTGAAGCCTGTGACTTGCCTGATGATATCATGATGTGGGATACTCACAGATTTTTCTATCGAAGGAATTTTCATCCTGAAAGCACAGTAACAGAGTCACTTTGTGTGAGATGGGTGGCTATATAAATAGGATAAATAAAATAAAATAACTGTATGATCATTCAAGAATTAACTAATCTTGTTTGGAGATATGAGTGTCTTTAGTCTGACCTTCCCCAACTTGGCATTTTCCAGTTATTTTGGACTTTCACCTCCCATCAACTCTAACTAGCATGATCACTGGTTGTGGTGCTGCAGGATTATTGTTACTGCCAATTTGTGTATACCACCCTTCAGAGCCAAAGTTTTCTAGAGGCAGTTTGCGAATGAATTTAAAATGTAGGTAATTATGGGAGCTGATGTCAGTGTCTTTGAAGGTTGAGAAAGATTGGTTTCATGTACTTTAAAGGGAAGCTAGTTCCAGATTGGCTGTTTTACTTCATTTAAAAAAAGGTTTATTCAAATTGAAGTAGATGGTAAGAATAACTTGTATGAGTATTTCATTTGCTTTTCCTTTTAACTGAGACAAAAAATTGTATTTTTATTACTCTCTATTGTAATGATACTGATACTAAGTTTTTAAGGGCCCAAGTCTATAGAAATCCCCATTGATGAGTTGTTCTAGTGTTATCAGTTTTTTTCATGCTTGATTGTTCTTGAATGCTCACGGTTCTTTCATTTTCTTTGGCAAGTGCACATTTGCCCTGCTTCAGCACAACTCAAAGCTCCACGAATAGTGCCAGAACTGAATTCTTTAAAAGCCTCTCCCTAATGCACACAGAAAAATCTATCCCCTTATTGTTTTAAAAAGGCTTTCTTCTATAGCAAGAGGATCATGGGAATTGTGAAGTACTAATTTTCTTGTCTCTGCAGTGGGAAGGTACAGAAAATGTGCAGGCCATGCTTGGTTATATATAACCCTCTAAGCTTGGAAATCTGGTGCTCCTCTAGTTGATTAAGAAAACCCTCTTAATGATGGGCAAGTCACATGTGATGTAAGGGCTTTTGTATTGCAAAGACCCAGGTTTGGGTGCACGCTCAGGGTGTGTCCTGCATCTGTACACAGACAAGTGCTGCAAGTCCTCCCTGGTCAGTTACCTATTGTTGAATCTTAGTTTTACCATCCTTGAAAATCTTCCAAAGGAGGAAGGTGGGACATTTTACTTGTCAGAACACGAACAGTTAATTTATATGGGGAAGACAAAGGAGATGCTGCATAAATCTGGTTCCTGTGTCCTGGGGTTATTAAGCCACTAAGAAACTCCTGCCTTCATTGTCCATTTCTGGAACAGCTTGCAACTGCAGGTGGCCCCCAAGTCCCCTTTTTGTATGCTCTAGAATTGCATCACCAAAAAGAGCAACTGTTTTTAAGTTTTTTTCCTTCAAGCGTTTTGGAAGTGTTTTGAGTTCAGAATAGCTCTGTTGGAGCTTAAAACGCTTACAGAAGGTTGGATTTTCTTTTCAAAGTAAAGCAGCTTTGTCAAACTTGAAACATTCAGAACTCATAACATTTTGCATGCTCCTCATTGGAAGAACCCCATTGCTTTCTTAAAAAGTTTAAAGAGAGCTTTTTCTTTCTCCTTGGTTACCCTTTTTAGGGCAGCTCATGATTGGCACCCTGTTTCATGAAAGCTGTGAATGCTGCATGCAGAAGCTTCTGCATATGACTAAATAAATTCTCCAAAGAATGAGGAAAGGTCTCCAGCCAGATTGAATTTTTTTTTTCCTGTACTGGCCAAGCATGCTGATCCATGCAAATGCCTAACTTTGCAGTAAACCTGTAAAGGAGCGCTTGTTTTTTTCCCCCTCCTAAGAGGGCAGAGGAGGCAAGGCATGTTTTAGTTGTCTTTTGGCAGTCTGTTGTTTTAGTTGGAGAGCATGTTTTTCTGCCTGCAGATGGTCACCAAATCAACTGCTGTTTTTGGTTAGAAAAGATCTCTGAGAGCAGGTCAGAAAGGATCTCTAGAGAGCCCTATCAGTCCAACTACAACATTGGACCACATAGGTAAATAAGGGCTATAAGGCAGATTCCTCCTTGGCATCCAGTATAATAACAAAGAGGACCTTCGTGGGAGGTATAGAGTGCTCTGTCTATCATTCCTCTACCTTCTTCACATGAAATTCCTTGTCACTAGACATATTTAGTGCTTGATGTCTTCTAGTAAGGATCTGCAGAGAGAATTGAGCATCGCAGGTATTCCACCACTTCCCAGATCCACCTTCATTTCTTCTTGCGTGTTCAGGTGCCACTCATGAAGTATGGAGTGCTGCAGTTACACACCTGCAGATATAAAACCAGCCTTGGGAATATAGGATGCACCTGGTCTCTAAAACAGCTGAATCTGCTTGTGAATACTCGTTTCTTGATGTAGTAAAAATCCAGAAAGTCCAGGACCAGCTTCCAAATGTTCTTTCCTTCTCTTAGAGGTCACTTGGCGCCCACACACAAAAAGCTTACAAGGTTTTTAGTTTCACTGAATTATCCTTGTTGGTTTTGTAATTCATGAATAAGTGTTTTCCTTGCCAAGCAGCACTTGACTGGTTTGGTGTGTTTAACAATGCAGGATTTTATTTTATGTTTTTGAGAGAAGAACAGGGCTAACCTCTGGCTAAAGGCATTTTCAGTGATTGTGCACTGAACAAATCAATTCTTTTGACACACAGTTTTAATCAAGTTACTTCTATTTGCAATTTTTGCAGTTTGCATATGCACACAATCCGGCTTCAGCTTTGCAAAGGTGCATTGTGATCCCAGATTTTATTCATTTTTTAAAAGTAAAGTTTAGGTGCGAAATATGCTTTAATACAAGTGTGCTCATAATAGAGCCCATATTACCTCCCAAACCACTGGGTATATTTCTCCTTTCTGCAGGGCTGGACAATGTTTTGCTCCCTTCTGCATATTTAAGGACCCCATGCCACCCTAGATATCATCTCCTGGATTGCATGCACATTAGTTTTTTAAAACCTGGCTGAAATTTCACAACATTTCAGTGTTCATGCCCAGTGTTCAGGGCAAGATGTTGGTTAAAGTGATTTTTAAAATACTTTTTATATTTTAAGAAGAGAAGTAGGAGCAAAGCTTTTGGGGGGAGGACTTATTGGACACTTATTTTACAACTTGCTTTTTTTTTAAAAAAAAAAAAAAAAGTAGAAAACAGTGCCTCTGAAATTTGGCAGGGGAGAGCTCCAAGAGCTGCATGATGGGCGGCGGGGGTGGGGATTACTGGCAGATCGCAAGTTGCCTACTTCCAGTATCGCTTTATTTGATAGAGGTATCTCTGCAAGTATCCCATCAGAACTTCTCAAAATTGCCATATTTAATATGGATATTCAGAATGTCAAAGAGATGGCAAGATTAGCTTTGTGTACTATGTGAACCTATCCAAGGCCTAGAAAGCCTGTTAATAAAAGAGGTTGGGGGTGGGGGGGGAACTGTACAACACTTAATTCTGTTGTGTTATTATCTATCTGTAACTGTGTGTTGTAAAGATTTATGGATCTTGCCTTCAACCAAAGGAAGATTTCAAGGTGGTATATTTAAAAATGAGACATTCAGTTCAATAAGGTCATGTAAAGTCCAATCCCAATATATTAAAATCACCTAAGAAAACACAAATATAAAATGTCTAGATGAATTAAGTTGTCTATGTAAGCAGAAGCTAATATTTCTCAAGGCACAAATACTGTGTTATTTCCTACACTGTAAAATGACAAATGGTCGGGACAGGGGACTTCTTGAGAGCTATGCATTTCAGAGCAACAAATCTTGCAACAACAATTATTGTTCAGGGTGCACCTAGGTTTCTCTAGGGCCTAGGTTTCCATGTTGGGACCCTCTGTTCAGAATACCAGATACCTTCTGATCTGCTACTAAATACTCTTTCCATGTTGATGGAGTCAAGTGTCATCTGTTCCAGCCTAGAGCTCTTGAAAGCTCCCAATTCTGCCCAGTACAGGTGGCATATTCATAGATGGAGCTGCATAGTTGGACATGTGTTCTTCAGTAACACACAAAACAATTACTTACGGCTTTACCTTCTTATTTTCCCTACTTTACTAAAACAGCTTTCCCAACTTGGCAACCTCAGGAGCTGTTAGAACTGCAGACTTCCTGTCTTGCTGGGGAATTCTAGGAGCTGTAGTCTTAGTACTTGTGGAAGACATTAGATTGGGCAAAGGTGTGCTGGACGTTTTGTGTAAATGAGAAAGGTTCAATATGACCAAGAGGCGTTCACCCAGGAGATGATGTTGTGGAAGAGAAGCCCTTGGCCATGTTAAGTTGTAGCTGCAACTGACATGGAGTTAGCTGACAGGAAGCAGCCAAGTTGGGTGTTATACATTCTGCTACAATTGAGCAAGATAAGAAGAGGCACACCTTGCTGTGGGTTACTTTAGGCAACTAACCCTCTATATAACATGGCATATAAAACTGATGAATACTTTACCAGGCACACTATTAAATGCATTACACCTTGATGGGGGACATAAAAAAACAATTCTTTTAGAAATTTCATTATTTTACACAGATGGTATATTCTTTGGAGAACAATGCCAAGGGGTTATAATCACGAAAAGAAGATTGTACTCTTTTCCTGCTGGATTACAAAGAACTGGTAGAGCAAAAAGCAGGAGATTTTGTCATACTTATCCAGCTTTGCTGCAAGTACTTTGAAAATGCAGAAAAAGTAGATGTAAAAGTAGATCTCTTTCTCCATTGTTGCACAGAAATGTCAATGCATATAAACTTCCTTTTTTTTTTTTTTTGCTATTTAATACTGTAGGTGAAATTGAGAAATAGATTTGGGTATTATTTTTGCTTAAACTAACCGTATATTCCATATAAGAAAATGAGGCTGATGCTCATTAAACTTCAACCAAATGTAGCTAGAAGCGAACATATTCTTTACACCCCTCTTTTTTTTCCTCCTACTTAGGTGCTGAAAACGTGTAAGCTTTGAATGGAAAAAGCATGAAGAGTTTGAAAGCCAAGTTCAGGAAGAGTGATGTAAGTATTCAGTGGCTCAGTTTGGCTAACTCTCATCTGTTAGCTTTTGGTATAGAAACATTCTTTCACTTCCAAGTTGATAAAGCTGAAGGTTAATAAACTACAAGGGCAGGAGTGGTAAAGCTTGTAAAATGAGACTGGAAGGAGTAATAGAATGACAAATTGCTTCTGTTCTAGACAAATATTATGAATTAATTTACTAGGATCAAATCACAGGCCACCTAGTCAACTTTAGTTGATCTCAAAAAGCTAAGCTGGATCAGACCTGGTTAGTTCTTGAATGGGAGACCAAGGAAACACAGGACTGAGCTAGACTAGGAAGTCAAGAAAATGTCCTTGAAGTGGCAAAACAGTTCCATATTGTTGCCAAGAAAACTATAGCCACCAGGAGTCAAACTTGATTTGAAGGAGATTTTTATTGGATTGTGTACAATCCGTATTCAGCTTGAAGTACGAAAAAGATATATTTGTGTGGGCTTGAATGGCTCAGCAATCTAGGACTTGACTTAAACTAATCCACTTTATCATTTAATCTGAAAAATGCTGTTATTGCTCCAACTTTGCTACCTGTCACACCAGGATATGGCCTTAACCCCTGAGAACCCCATGTTTGGAAAAGGATTGGATAGTGGAGCATGTGCACTAGATTCAATGTGATGAGCTGCTCCATTTCAACAATTCACAGTTGGTTGGGTTTGCACATCTTGCTTACTCGTAACTCATGGTGTACAGATCATAATGGCTGACCCTTGGTCCAAGTCAAGTGCAATACATGATGGCTTAACGTGTGTGAATCCACCCACATCAGGATTGTCCCAATTAGGCTTTTCTGGCTTATCTTAAATGAAGAGCAGGAAATACATATTTAAAGTTAGGCAGAAATGACTGCATTTGTAGAAGCCCATCTTTCTGTTGGTCAAGGCTTTTCCTGTGTTTATCCTTTTGAGAACAACTGGTAGGAATCAGCCATTCTTACTGCAGGAGCTGATAATGTCCACTATTGGCTCTCTTCCATATCTGGAAGACTCAGTTGGGACCAGCTTCTGCTTGTCACAAGACAGAATTGAGGAGGGCCTGGGCATATTCATTCCTCAGTACTGCACCCCATCACGTCGTCCTGTTAATGCCTTTGTCTTAGCTATCTGCCTCTGCTTGTCAGGAAGCAGCCACCCTCTTAGGCCAGGCATTGAATAATAGGTGGGCTGTCTTGAAATCTTGCTCAGTCACTGGACTCCTTCAGATGGTGGCCACTGCAGTTTATTTGGTACTTTGTAAAATGAAACTGATGAGCCATAGGTAGGGTTGCTGCAGGGGCTATGAAAAAATTGCCTTCCAGATTATTGCTACGCATTACAAGCATTCCATAATATTTAACTTTTATTTCTATTTTGGGTATGAGCAACAGTTTTGCATTCATTCATGCAAACTGTGTCTGGGTGACAGTTTTTACAGCTAAAGAGAAGAGAAAGTCTTGCTTCTGCAGGAAGGCTGTTTAGTGATAATACATGCTGTTTTTTCCCCTTGCGCCACAGATTGATGCTTCCATGCAGATCTTTGGCATTCTTTCCTGCCAAACAATGTCTAGCTCTAAGAATAAGCCAAAGTTCTTCAGCAGGCAATTTTGTTTTTTGTTTTTTTTACCCCTTTCTTTTTGGCTTATTAGAAAAGCAATAATCAAGGGATTCCAGTGCAGTGCTGTGTTAAACAACCAACAAATAGAGATCCCTATTCTTTGCTATTCCTGCTATGCAGAAGGAAGTGGTGGGAGTGAGGAAACCATGGGCCCAAGCCCCCTTGCTCCTGCAAAGCAGCTCAGGCTGGTTGGAATGAGGCTCTGGCATCACGTTTTATAAAGAATTTTTGAGATACTATTCTCTAGGTTGAAGGAAGAGTCAAAACCCACTGGTTTACTTTTAAACTCATTGATTGGTTGATCTCTTTCTTTGAAGTGTCTGAGGAAGAAGGCTTTTAACAAGCCAAAGGGGCATTTTCCAGTCTGCTGTCATGCCTGGTGCTTGTAAAATTTTGCTGTTTCTAAGTTGAAAGGGAAAGAGATAGGGAATTACTCATATCAGTTTGGGTAATGCAGTGGGTTTTTTTTTTAAAGTAAAGCATTTTAATATCCTATAGAAGACACCCCCCTCCCCCCAGTTATTGTCTGTTGCTGTTTTTCCTGCTTCTTTCTAATTCCTCCTCTAAGTTGATCTTTTCCTGAAGCTCTTGGCATATAACCTGCTCATTTTCATGTCTGCTTGTAATCTGGCCTAAACTGAAACATCTGCATATTGTTTCCATGTTGACTCTTTCCTCCACTCTCCTGTTTCCCCTTGGTTGTTTTTTAAGATTGTAAACTCCTTGAAGCAAGAGTTCTTTCCCCTTATGTGTGGTTCTAAAAAAAGTACGTGAAGTGCATTATAGAAATGAATGTTAACATATGCCAGGGTAGTAACATTGCAGCCAGGCACCAGGGTACCCCCAAAATCTTCATTGGTATCACCAGGATTTTTATTTCACCTCTACTTTTTAAAAAATAAAATGAAAAAAAATTGAACAGTAGCATGTTGCAAGGTGGCCATCTGTAGCATCATCTTTATTTGCCCAAATGCCTTGAGATCCCACAGAACTTTCACTGGAACAGTAGAGAGCATAGGGGCTATTTTCCTTCTAGTGAATAATGCATAGCTAATCTGGTAAGTGACCTTTTGTCTTGGGACTGGCCATATGGTAATGATATGTGGGGATGACCTTGGAAAGCATTTCAGAAGGGACCCTCTTGTCCGGAGAGGCTCCACTGGCCTGGGCTTGTCACCAGTTGCAGGTCTCTGCTGCAACATCATCTCCGCTCCTTCAGAGACATTTTACTCTGCCATTTTTTTTCACCCAGAAGCCCTCACTTTGACTTTATTGTAAGATTACATTAACAGAATCTTGCAAGACTAGTATTTCTTCCCTCCTTTCCTTTTGCTCTCTGGAAGACTAGGGAGGGTCTCTTCTGAAATTTTTCCCACACCCTCGCTCCTCCTGTGGGCTGAGATACCTTTTACACACCGGTTGTCCAGCCTGCCGCTCTCCCTCCTGTCTCCCAATGTCATTCCCACATACCATTACACATGCCTACTGTGGCTCCCATTTTGTGAGTAGGCCCATGACAGCCATTTGTGACTTGCTCACAACAGGCTATCAAAATTCCAAATCTGGTAAGTTTGCCTACTCTCTCTGTGTGTAAACATCTTGAAAGATTTTTTTTCTTTATCTGGTCCTCCTCATATTCCCTGGCATTTTCAGTTAAAAAGAATCTTTGTAAATGGAGCTGGTAAAAGTCTTCTCATATATCGCACATCAGCAAAGGCAAATGAACTTCTAGAAGGAACAGAATCCAGTTATGACTTATCAACAAGTTTTTTTGAGAGGGAACCTGTATTTTGTCACATTTACTCTTTAAATGAAAGTGGAGGCTTAAAGGCAGTAAATAAAATGAATTCAATATTATAGATTTTTATGTACGCAATTGCAGTGGCATCTTGTTAGGATCTAGTTGAGTTATGGTTGTTTACTTGGATTTGTGTGAAACAGGATTAATTTCATTGAAAGTCATTTGGATTGAAATTGAGAAGGGCAGGAAAGGCTGAGTTCATATATTGCTTTTAAATCATATTATAATTGACCTTGTTTGGATTTAGTATATTGTTCAAGTCAGCCAATTGTGGTTAATTCAGTAACCATGCTTAGGCAAACAATGGCTTAATGCTATATGAGAGCCCAATCAGTTAGAAATTAGGAGCACTAAATCAGGTGAATAGTCCTATGTTAGCCCTCCTCAATGTGGAACCCTCAAGATGTGTTAGGAATATAACTTCCAGACTTCCAAGCCAACATTGAAGAGGCTTGGAATTGTGGCCTTGATTCATCTCAAGGCCACCAGCTTGGAGAAGAATGCCTTATCCAGCATTTTGTTCCATCTGTATCCAACCAGATGTTTCAGGTAACCCAATAAATACAGTACAAATGCAACTCTATCGTCAACATGTCATATTGCCTCTTGCTGTAAAGTTAATAATATAGCTACTGATAAGAAGTACAATAGAGGAGGCAGAGATTTATACTGAAGAACATTTAGATTGATTTTTCCTTCCACTCATTTCTTCATTCCTTAGTGGTATTATCTAAAGAGCAAGATTGTGCTTTTACATAAACATCCCAACATTGTTCCAAGGAATAGCCAGAGAAAGCTGCATGACTTTGAGGTTAACCACAGAACTATCCAAGCAGACTCTGAAGCTAGTCCAAACTATGCTTTTTAAATACTTGGGACACTTTTGAACTTAGATAATAGTGGCTAAGTTATTATCAATGGTTTTTTAATTCTCTAATATACTATAGACTTGGAATAATGCCCATAGCAAATATTTGAAATTCTTTCAGCTACCTTTGAATGGAGGTAGCCCTATTGCCCTAAAGCAGTGATGAAACGTTTATATACCTCATTCACCGTGTACTGTTTTGTCATAAGTGTGTTAATTCAAACTCTGTTAAGTTCATTCTGGGGGAGGAATTTATAGAAGCCTGGTTGACACTCTGTCTTTGGGATGACCCCAAGGGTTCAAATATTGTTTTAATAGATATTTAGCTGTGAATTTTTTTTATACTCTTGTCACATTGCTAATTGAAAGATTGCTTTTCTTCTGTTGTATGGTGCCATTTGTCTCTGCTAGACAAAATCCCTCTTCTGAAGGGAGACGATCAGACATGTGACTCTAGAGAGGGACAGAAGTAGTTACAACTGCTAGATCTTTTCTGGAGTTGTATATGTTTTCTAGCTCAGCGAGGGGTTGAGTCTTCCACATGCACGGCCTTTCTTGTGCACTAACATGATGGCTGTTTGAGAATAAAAGCAGAGTTTTGCATTTGGAATTGAGTTACCACAATGTATTGCTCTACAGCAATGATAGTCACACTGTGATTTGGGATCACCATGTGGTCCACTGCAGCCTCTCTGCCTT